TAGGTCATCATGATGACCACCTCTTACTGTATATATATGTAGTCTTATGTGAAGCATTGGGTGCCCCTGGGCATATTCAGGTAGGCAGGGACCCTTGTGTTAAATGGCCCCAGAGACTGTATTATGAAGCTATAATTGGCCATCTTCCTCTCCCCATCTCTTACCTGCAGTCATTTCTCCAGGTAACACCTTCTTACAGCCTCTTGACACTCTATTTAAAATCTGCCATAATCCACACAGAACTCAAGGTTGCCATGGGTAACCAGAGTCGAAGCTTGTGCCGACCCTAAATTTAATTTTACACACAATTTCAAGGCAGTGGGGAATTGTGTTAAAGGTTACTTCTGGCCAGGGCTGACACATAGCCAGTCCTCACAGTACGTAATGCTCTGAGCCAGGTATCCGCTTGCCCTGGGTCCCCAGATGCCCACCTGCTCAACACCCTGGCTCATCTCCTGGCTCCTCACATTGCAGGAACCCAAAGGTGCTGTCTGGCTAGGGGGCTCCAGGATCCTGTTCCTGCGTGCATCAGCATCCTTCCCAGCTGGTCAGTAACTGTGGTAAGCCAGCTGCACCACACAGCAGTTCCCTCTTACTCATGGGTCCAGTTATTTGTAGTCAACTGTGATCCAAAAGTACAGTGCAATAAATAGCACATATTGAGAGAGAGACCACATTCCCCCAGCTTTCATTATAGTGAACTGTTATAATTATTCCATTTCATTATTACTTATTGTGGCCAATTGCTTACTATGTCTAATTTATACATTAAAATTTACCATAGATATGCATGTACAGGAAGCATGACATAGACAAGATACTAAGGTTTCAGGTGTCCACTGGGGGTCTGGAAAGTAGCCTCTGGAGATGAAAAGGAACCACTGTAATTTGAATATCACCCTAGTTTCTGGGCTGAAGAGTATTATTTTCCCCTCTGTGACTGGCTGGAAAAATTTGAGGCTCACCTTCTTCCCCAAATTCAAAGGCCTTTTCTAAGGTGCAGGATGCGTTCTGGGTTCAGCTTGCCTGAGGCCAGCTGGGTGGGGTGTTAAAAGCTACTTTGGACTGAACTCCTAGCGTGTGCCAGCTGCTGTGTTCAGTACATCAAGTAAATCACCTCTCATCCATCACACATTCCTACTAGGGAAATATGTAGAACCAGCCTCTACCGGCTGAGGAAACTTGTCCACAGCCCGGCAGCCAGCCAGCAGCCCTGGAAGCCAGAGCCATCTCTCTCTGAGGCTTCTGTCCTGTGCACTACACTCTGTTCACATTTATTAATATATAAAAATGCCCAAGTTATATTTCAGAAGGAAAATGTTGGCCCTTTCAGTTTTTGAAAAGTCTATTTGTTTTTGTTTGGGTGTGTGGGTTTCATTTAATTAATTCCACATTGCATTACCAATTTGGAACAATCTGTCCCCAGGGAACAGATCTGGTTTACTTATAGAAAAAACCAGTAGAGGGAGTGACTGGGGTTACAAAGTATTCCTTGTAGGAACTTAATATAAAAACCTTCCCAGTTTTCCTTGGATCAAATAGAAGTAAATAGAACACTCCAGAAAATCCCATCTTCCCAGAGTGGTTGTGATACAGCTCAGAAACAGAACTTTCTTTCATGTGTTACCAGCCACTCCTGCAAGATGGCACGTGTGACATCGGGTGCCACTGATCTCCCTCCTGCTCCTAGAAAGTTCTCTGGAAGTTCATACAGGAAAGTAGAAGTCCCCATTCAGACAAGATCAGGCACGTTCAGGGTGGTATGGCAGTAGACAATTTTTTTTTTGGCGGGGTACCGGGGATTGAACTCACGACCTTATGCTTGCCCTGCAGGCGCTTATGCCACTGAGCTATTTCCGCAGCCCTCCCCATTCAAAATAACAAGGACTTTAGAACTCCTTGGGGAGCTAGACCAGACACTAACAGGGTCAATAATTTGGGGGCAGTCTTAACTTTATGTCTCCTCCTGAATCTGGATATAGAAGAGCTGCCACACCCACCCATGGCTATGAATTTTCTGATCTTTCCTCAGGGATGAACATTCCAAATTGACCCTAAACTAATTTTTGAAATAATCCAACCATGACCTCATCTTCCACATTTTGCACCTGCTCCTCCCACACTCAACACATGCAATACTCAAAAATACTTACAGTGCTCTAAAGTTGCTAGAGGAACTTTGTCTCAGGGAGAAAACTGTCTGAAGATTGAACTGACATAGGGTGAACAGGTTCACTTGTGTTAGTTTCATGAGACTGAAGTAGCAAAGTACCACAAACCGAGTGACTTAAACAGCAAACATTTATTATCTCAGAGTTCCAAAGGCTAAATGTTTAAGGGCGAGGTGTGAACAGGGCTATGCTCTCCTGCTGCTGGGGAAGGATCTGCTCCAGATCTCTCTCCCCTGGCTTCTGGTAGTTCTCTGGCTTACAGAAGCACAAGTCCAGTCCTCTTCTGGCATCATCCCTGTGTGTCTGTGTCCATATTTGCCTTTTATGAGGATGCCAGTCATATTGCATTAGGGGCCCACTCTGCTCCAGGATGACTTCATCTTAACTAATTACATGTACTTCCTTACTTCCTGATAAGGTCACATTCTGAGGTATTTGAGCTTAGGCTCTCAATATGAATTGTGAGGAACACAATTCAATCCATAACATCATCTAAGATAGTTTTGAATTCAAAATCAAACTCAAGAGAGAGCAGATGAGATTGGCCAAAAGAGGATCTCATATTGTGTACGATTCATCCTGTTGCCAGGGTGGGAAAGAAGTTGGCATGTTGACCCCTGAAATCCGCTGCTTATAAATAAGTGTGAATAAGCAACCATCAAGTGAAGGGGCTGTTGTCTGAGGAGCACAGAGGTACACAGGGGGGTCTCCACAAAATCTTAATTCCTTCTCACTACTTTTTAGGACAGAATCCACATAGGTAGGTGCAAAATTTTAGTCCTGAAGGAAACTGTTAGTTACAATGAACTAAAAGAGAACATTCAAAAACTGGCATCTGTACTGACTGTATACAGACTTTTTATGGTCATTATTTCCTAAATGATACAGTATCAGAACGATGTAGGTAACATTTCCAGTGTATTAGGTATTATAAACAATGATGTATAGCCTACAGAAAGATGTGCACAGGTTGTGGGCAAATATTATGTAATTTTATATAAAAGGACCTGAGCATTCTCGGATTTTGGCATCCACTGAGGGTCTTGGAACCAATCGCCTTGGATGCCTACATCTTAGAGTGATACTAGCTCTAAAGCCTGCCTGGATGTAAGATTGCCAGTGGGATTTTGCCATGGTTTTCGTATGGTTTGTTCCCCCAAGGGTTCATGTGGCAATGCTGGGAAGTGGCGTGGACTTTTAAGAGGTGGGGTCTAGCAGGAGATCCATAGATCAATTGGGGATGTGCCCCCAGAAGGGCCTGGGGGACCCCATAGTCCTCTGTGGCTTCCTGTCTGTTGACAAGCTTTCCACCTCATATCTGCATTCCTGTCAGGACACTGACCGCCAGAGGCCCCACCAAAGGGGTTACCTGATCTTGGACTTTCAGAACTGTGAACTCCTCTTCTTTGTGAATAGACTGCTTTAGGTATTTCATTACAGTCATGAAAAATGGACTAATGATTCTACATAAAAATTGAATTGCTATTTATAAGATGAGGTAAGGGACGATATTACTCATCAATTTGGATAGATCAGTTATTAGTTTGTGCCAGTCTTTTTCTTCCCTGGGGTCTGGGATTATGCTGAGGAGGTATTTTATGCAGCTGTAAACCACCCATGAAATTATGTACCAGGCCACAGTGGTTAGCAGGGCAGACTGTGGGGCCTGAATCACATCTGATTCTGCCCCTTTGTTAGGTGATCTTGGTCAAGTTATGTGTGGCCAAGGTTTCTTCTTGAAGCCATCCTCTGCAGCGATGTGGTAGGAATTAAGTGAGACACTATTTGGCAGATGTCCACTATGGTGGACACTGTTCAATAAATGGTTCTTATAACTGTTCAAGGGGGCTAAGAAATAACCTTGAAAAACCAAGCTAGTCTCTCCTGACTTGTTAACTTTGTGGTTGTCATGAGGCAAAAGAGACCAGGACTCTGGGGGCACAGTAGAAGGTTAATGTAGTAGGTATGGGATATTTAGCCTACACATATTCTAAAGAAAGAAATGACCCTTGAGCAGTCCTAGGAGTTAACATCTAACCCTTGGAGTATCCTGTCTGAAGTGTTTCTGTGTATCTGAGGGGAATTACATATTATGCTAACAGTGTGATTTATGGTAGGGGCCTTGGGTCACATGGTATTAGCTTGACCTCTGGAGGGACCAGAGACTGAGTAACTAAGGTCACCCACACAGGTCTTTCATGCCCACATGCCCGACCCCAAGAAGAACCTTGACACCAAGTCTTGAGCGAGCTCCCTGGTTAGCAATACTGTTCATGGTGTCATACGTCACTCTGGACCCTGCTCTGCACTTTTTACCTTTGCTGACGTTAATCTGTCTCCTTTCACTGTAATGAACCAGAACTATCACAGCTCTTTGGAGCTCTGTGAGTCCTTCTGGTGAGTCAATGGGCCTGAGGGTGGATTTAGAGACCTCCTCATTCACCTGGGAAACAACAAAACTGTCCAATCTTAACCCACTACCATAGTAGGCGGCCACGTCAGTAGAAAATGGAACTGTTTTCAAAAGCATTCAGTAAACATTCGATGAGACTCAAGTGGATCTGTTAGGAAGGGGCTTCTGGACTTTGAGGGTGGTGGGAGTCCTGGGGTTGTTGTCTCTAAAGTGATATGGGACAGGCAGATGGAAACACATCTGGGACCTACCTTTGGTGCTTCAATTCAGCATATTTTCCCTTAAGAAGATAAAGACCATCGGCTTCTTCTCAGCAGAGGCCGTAACTCTGCAGCTGCAGAGCCAGCATAAGTGCACCACAGACGGGGGTCCTGTGTGCACCGCTGTGTGTGCCGGCTGGCACGCCCCTCACTTACCTGGCCCCACTGACGTCGACTCCGACCATCAGCTGCCCGTTCAGGGAGAGGATCTCGTCCCGCAGTCGGACCTTCCCACTCTTTCCTGCCGGGCTGTTCTTCCTCAGCTCTGTCACCCAGATGCAGCCCACATCCAGCACAGGACCCTGGTGGGTTTTCCTCTTCTTGCCCCCTCTGCGCTTTTCACCATAATCCCCGAAAACAGGGATGTTCCCAAAACTGAGGCCCACAGTCTCTGTGTCCCCCAGCTGCTTGGTGAGGTACACAGTACAAATCTCCATTTCTGGGGGGCTATGGTCAGGGGCCACCGGGTTCTCTTCCACAGCCAAGTTGAGCTGGATGTATTCCTGCAGCTTCCGGATGGCCGCCTGGCAGAGCCGCTGCTCGGGCCCATCCCCGCCCTCCCGAAGGCTGTTCTGCAGCCACTGGCAGAGGAGGGGCAGGTGCAGCCCAGCATTGTCCTGGGTGATGGGCATGGTGCTCACTCCAGGACACCAGCATCATGAGAGGTCCTGCTGCTGAGGGCCAGACCCCGCAGGGCCCCATGTCTTTCGGGAACCCTGGCTGTCATCAGCTCTGCCTGTGTTCATGTTCAGACTGGTAGATGAGTCTTGGAATGCCTCCTTGAGACGGGGCTGTTTGCCTTGGCAAGAGGAGGACAGGACACAATTAGAACAACAGTGAGACAATGGCTTCAGAATACTCAACAAGGGAAGCCAGGAAGTATCCGACAAGTCCCTGCTTGGTTCATTTCACAGCAAGATCCGTGCAAATGACATGGAAATCGGGTACTCTTCCAGCAGTGACAGCTTGGCCTCCCTTGGGCTTATTCACACCTGGGAGAGGAAGAGCAAAAAACAACAACTTCCAGTTACAACAGTGAGCCTCTGGCACAGAACACATGGCCTTCTAGATTACAGAAGGACCAGGTTTGCTTTTCTGACACCAGGAAACTCCTCCTTCCCCAGTGTGACTCCTCCTTCCTCAGTGTGGCTCCTGCATGCTACACACACACACACACACACACACACACACACACACACACACACCTCCTTTCCTCACACAGAGGTGTTCTCTAGGAAGTTTTACTGAGCAGCACAGAAGTAAACCTTCTTTTGCCAGGACACCTTTCCCAATATACTATCAAACTCACCTCCAACGAGGAGGTTGCATAAAAAGACCTCTGGGAAGACTGTCGAGGGGTGTATAATGTCACTTCTACTGAGAACGGATGAATTTGTTGGAGGGGAATCAAAGAAAGTTGGTAGATTCCAGTAGCATATCAATAAATTACCTTGGTAACAGAAGCATTTCTTTTGAATGCTAAAGTTGTCATCTTCAAGCTACTGAAAATTAATTTAAATTATCATGGATGTTTGCTTGAGATAGGAATCTAATTGGAGAATTATATATAGTAGACAACTGGCCTGGCTGATGCAGTAGGCTTCTCGGGCCATAAGTTCTGTTCACTGATGAAAATGGATTAATCTCGGGAGGCAAGGCTTTTATATCTTCGCACAGATCCACCGTGGATGGATGTCAGTGTCAGTGTCAGTATTTGTAACTACAGATGTCTGTTCTCTGTCTTCTTAAGGGCAAATTTTGCTCCCTGGAATGTTTCACTGGATACTGTGGGAAAACCCCACTTTTCACAGTAAGGGTTAAATATCCTTTATCTGAAATCCTTGAGACCTGAAGTATTTTGGATTTCAGATAGTTTTGGATTTTGGAATATTTGCATATATATAAGGAAATACTTTGGGGGTGGGATATGTCAAAACATGAAATTCATTTATGTTTCCTATCTATGTTCTACATACAGCACAAAGGGAACAATATTTTTTAATAATTTCATAGTGTGGAATTTCCCACTTGTGGCAGCACGTTAGAAGTCAAACAGTTTCAGATTTTGGATGACTTTGGAATTGAGGGAGGGTATATTCTGATGAATCAAACACTGTCACTGTATTTGATGACATCTCTGTTGAGTCCAAGGACCTGAGAGATCATTTGGCTCAACTTTCTCATTTTAAAGATGAAGAAACAGCCATAGAGGTTGTTAGGTCTGGTGGAAAATGTTTTGATTTATTCATAAGATTTTAGTATGTCGGTATGTGAAGTTATTTTCAGTGAGAGGTGTTACTCATTTTGACCAAAGGAGACATTCAGTTTTGTACATATACACATTATCCTTTCTTTGATCTTTCTTACATTTTCTTTTAATAGCTGTGTGATTATGTAAATGATATTTGCTAAGCTTTTGATTTATTTAGAATCAATTAGTAGTTGACACTCAAGTTCTTTGGAAACTCAAAACATACTATATTGGAAATCTCTTTTTGGTGACTGAGTAATAAGGTCATTTATTATTGACATGGCTTCTGACACTTCTCCTATTTGTTATTATTTCTTGTTAAATCACTTCCCGAGAAGGCAGGAGAATGTTTTCCACTTTAGATGGCACAGTTTATATTGACTTTCTCTGGGAGAAAGTGAAGTTCAAGGAAGAGAGTGAGAGGGATTATTTTTCTATGTTTATGGAGAATGGAGGTGAAAATTTTCTTTGATGGAGAAGGCCACTTGGCAATGGAATTCAATGAACCTTTCACTAGGGGACCTATGATGTGCCAGCACTGGGCAGAATTCAGATGGGGACTCTGGATCTATTAAGGAGATGTGCCTGCAGCCCCTAGCCATGGTGGCCAGTGGCATCACTATGGAAAGCAAAAGAAGAGCCATGACTTTGCACCCAGAAGTTTGGAAAAATGTGTCCCTGGAAGAGATAGCTTTTGGGTTGGTCTAGAAATTGGTTGCTTTTTAATGGTTTCCCAAAGGAAGGGAGAGGAGACTAAAAGTTGTAGGATGCAAAAATTCATGATTCCCTTCTGAATCTCTATGACAAAGGCAGAACCAATGGCCAAACTTAGAAATGGTGTGGGGAAATGGACTCTTTCTGTGGTGTTGATCGGCTCTTTCTCCTTCATTGTCAAAGGTTGTTCTAGAATACAGAGACCTCCTGGGTGTAAGTTAGGCTGATCAAGGCAAAGGAACATAGCTCTGAACGTCTAGGAAGGTAAGCTCTTAACCATGCCCAGAACCTCCTTATAACTTTCCAAGGGGTCTTTCCACACAGCCTCCTTGTTGGAAATGAGTTTGATGCTATATTGATGGGGCTTGTCCTGGGCCTACTCCTTCTAAATCAGCATTCTGCCTGTCTGTTTCTGACAATCTCATCCTACCCAGCCCCACTGTACCCTGGCCCACACCCAATCAGTGACCTCTGCTCACGGCCACCAGTGAACCTCATATAATGGATGCACACAGAGCTTGTGCCAGAAGCTTGTGGACACCACCTGCAATCCATCCTCTCTTCCTTTGTTTGTGAGAATAGCAATGTATTCACCTACAGTGCAGCCTCTCTTACAGGTATGAATAGCTATAAGACATAATCCTGACAATGAGAAGGAAGTAGAAACTGCTGTGTGGAGCTGACACCAACACTCCTTAGAGAGGAAAGCAGAAAGAAAAAAATGTATCCCCATGTTGTTCCATTCACTCTTATGTGGATTTTCTAAAACCCAACCAGTTAGCTCAGTTAAACCTCAAATAAAGAATTTCATACCTAGGAGTGGGAAAACTAAAATTAACAGACCATATACAGTAGAACTGGCTGAGCGAGAGAGGTTGGGAGGCAGCTGTCAAGGATTTGGATGTGGCAGATGGGAAAGAGGTGACCCTAGTAATGTAATGGGAAATAATTTGGTCAAACTGCCAATTGCTTTACCTTGAGAAGCTACTTTGTGTTGCTGAGCTTACAGAGTTAGGGGGACTGACAGGAAAAAATTAGATTGCTGGTAAGTGCTTTGTCTTTTGCAACAAAAATCTGGAGCACCTCAATTCTGTGGGCAGTCAGGGACGGACAGGCATATTGCAACATACAATAAGTAGCGTATGTTAGTTATAATTGAGAGAGATGGGCACAGTTCATGAGTTAGAAAGTAAAGGCTACAAATCATCAGGAATTGACCAGAAACACACACTGGATGCTTACGAATATCTGTGAGGGAATTATATATTGCCCCAAACCTTGCTTGCAACCATCTGGAGTGGTTCAATTCCTGTAGTGACCTCAAAATACTTCCTTTTCCTCCCTCTTCCCTGAAAAGGGCTTGGAAATGTGTTTCCTCCCTAGAAAGAGAGTCCTCCCTACATTCATGGCCATGGAGGTGCGTGATGAGGAATAACTTTCCAGAAACAGGCAAGGATGGCCATGAACGAGGGCTCTTCCCATAGAGCAAAGAGCTGCCACCTTGGTCAGCCTATGGACTACCGCTCTTCTTCCCAGGAAGATTTGGTCATTGCAATGGATAGTGGCTGCTGTGCTTTTTGTCTCCGCTTTTGTAAATGGAAGTTTTTACTGTAGTTATTTCACCCCTCCCCCAGGACTGCATGTTGGGTGAATTGGGGATTGTTTCAGGAAGTCAGGTCTAGAACTGCTGGAGAGGACCACACAGCACCCACCTGGGTATGATGACAGGATGAGGCTAGTGGGCCAGCTCTCGGGAGTGGGGAGTATATGCCATGCATGCAAAAGTGAATTATGTCTGAGTAACCAAAGAAGGGGACTGTGGCAGAGTATGACTTGCCTATACATTATTTCTTCCCCTCTTTTCCTAAGAGAAGCCCACTTGTGTGTGAGGAGCAAGTGCCCAGCCAAAAAGTTTTTCTTGGTGCCCCTTCCGAGGAGGGAGATCATAGATACACTCCACGAAGTTGTTGGTTGGGACTTCCAGAAAAGCTCCTTCAAATGCAGCCTCCTTCCAACTCCTACCCTTGCCTATTTTCTTGCTTAAAATGCATGTGATGTGGATCTTTGGCAACTACTTTGTGACCAATCATAAGGCAAAGGCCTGAAGTTTTTAGTAAGCTGCACCAACCCACACATCCCTTCTCCAGACTCCCTACTGTAAGAGAGAAAAACAGACCTCTACCTTTTTAAGCTTTGTTAATTAAACATTCTGTTACAGCTGAATAAAATCCTTAATTAATACATTGCTTTAATTAACTCTTGACTCTCAGGTCCAAGACCCAGAATACAGTATAATCCTGAGTCTTTCAGCTTCAGCCTTGCTACTTTGCCCATTAGCAGTTACTGAGTTACTACCTTGATTTGGAGACACATGTGCATGCACACAAACACCTTACATTAAATTGAATTACAAATACAAGGCATGTTTCTGCCCCTTAGAGAGTTGAAAGCGCATACAAGTTCTCCCACTGGTTTATCAGCACCATTTTGCCATGTGTGGTATTACAGACAAGCCTACAACTGATTGGGAAACATTGCAAGACAAACTATCAGGACTCCCTTTAGCAAGCTTATGTTTTAGAGGAGAAAGTTGCTGGCTAGTTTTTCTTTGTCTACGTGGCTAACTGGGGGCTAGCAGAAGGCAGTGTACATGAGACCAAAGAGTTTGATCATGAACAAGAGTGGCTTATGCCAGGCACTGTACTAGGATAGCAAAGAAAAGATGAAGTCTTGTGCAGGCTGAGCTCCACTGGACAGTGAGACCATAAAATAAACAGAAACAAGGAAGTGTCCTAAGGGCCATGAAAAGTGTATCTACTGGCACGTGGTGGGTTCTGGGAAGCAAGGTTTTCCAAGGGTTATGCTGGGGCTAAGAGATATGTTCCCAAATAAATTACAGTACTTGAGGACAGGGTGGGATGGGTGTGGTACACACCTATAATCCCAGCACTGAGGCAGGAGGATTGCTGAGAGTTAAAAGCCAGCCTGGACAACATAGTGAGTTCAAGGCCAGCTGGAACTACTTAG